GAGGGGTCAACCCCAGGAAGGAGATTCAGCTATGAGCCGCCAGCAACCCCACCCCATCCATAAGGGGGTCTCAGTGGCCCACAGCACCCACTAGGTCTCCAGGGCAGCTTCTCCTGGTTCCTATGGTTCTGGGCTCCAGACAGGTAGAAGTGGGAGAGCCACACTGTTATGAGCTGAACAAGGTCCCCAAATTTCATATGTTGATGTCCTGAACCCCCAGAATCTCAGAACGTGACTGTGTTTGGAAATAAGGCCTTTCCAGGGTGGAGATAACTTTAAACCGAGGTCCTTAGGGTGGCCCTGATCCAATCTGTTTGTCCTGATAAGAAGAGATTAGGACAAAGACATAGAGAAGGGACGAGCCCATGAGGACACGGAGGGGAGGGGTCGCCATCCACATGCATAAGAGAGGGACCTCTGCTGGAACCTCGACCCCAGACTTCCAGCCTCTAGGCCTGTGAGAGGTCTGCTGTCCCAGCCTCGGGTCTGAGAGCTTGGTCCTGCAGCCCCAGGACACTACCACCTCCAGACCGCCGGGGAGAGTTGGGCTGCGCCCTGTGCATGTGCCTTATTCTGGTCACAAAACGCGTCCACACTCATCAGAACAGAACAGAGACTCGGAGCCCAGGAGGGGGAGGAGGGCTCAGCTAACTGGCCCGGGGGTCTTCCGTCCTGCCCCAAGGTGTCAGGGCACTGCTTTGAGCCCCCACACACAGGACACTAGCCCGCAGGGCTGCACGTACATCACTCTCTGGGCCCTCCTGCCCGGGACCCCTCCTGCGCTGACCTGTGACCACACAGGACCCCACATGGCCACTGCCTCTGGGCTCAGGGAGGAGCAGCCGGGGCCCTTGGCCTCAGAGGGGCTGGAAGGCGGAGGGTCCCGAAGCCGGAGGACACCAGTCCCCTGAGGCCTGCACCAGCCTCCTGGCCAGTTTCTTTGAAAATTCGGAGCCTCTTTTGTCTTCCAAAGGTCAAAGGGCCAAGCTTGCCTTTAATTAAAATGCACATCCTTTAATTAAAGTCCCCATAACACATGAAGGGCATCCACTGAAATACGACGTGTGACACAGTCATTTCTCTGCTGTTAATTACTAATTAATGAAGCTATTTCAATTAATAGCTTCCCCACCTCGCTCCCCCTTTGACAGGCCCCTTGCTGGGTGCGTCCTGCAGTCTTGCAGTCTGAAGAGGCTCCTGCCACCTTGCTGAATATTCATGCCATGGCCTCAACGGCCTTCAATTAAACATGATAAAGCAAATTCCCTAAAAGTGTGTTTCTACGTGCAGCTCAGCTCCCTCTGCTGCAGAGGGGGGTAGTGGCTCCACTGCACATGGGAAAGAACTCAGCCATGGTCCCCAGGGTTGGGAGTGGTCCCCAGGGTTGGGGGTGATCCAACTGCCCAGGGTGGCCCCCGTACCTCCCACCCGGGGAAAGGTGAGCAAGAGGTCCCCAGGGGCAAGTGGTGACCCACAGGGCCTTGCCGTCCTAGGGCTGAAAGACAAAGCCAAGAAATGGGGGTGGGGAGCTCAGAGGGGTGGGTCTAATTAGCATGCTAATTACAAATATTAAGTGGCTTTTAAAGATCCTGTTTTAAAGAAAAGACAGAAAAGAGTCACTTACTGAGGGGACACCTTACCTGTGAGAATAGGGGTGGGGGTGGGGGCAGAGGGGTTTGGGGGGTGGGGCACCTAGTGAGGCCTGAGTGGGGCTTTTGGGGTCTAGGACAAGACCTGGGGGGACTTCAAAAGGCCCTGAGCCCTTCAACATCCTGAGCACCGGAGGCCCCCAGGCCCACCTGAGGCCAGACTTCCGCAGTACCGAATGGGGGTGGGGGGGACAGTCCTGCACCTGAGGACACCTGAGCCCTGGGGAGAGGAGAGGGTGGGGGGAACAGACCACCTCGAGGCCTCCAACCATTAAGTACTGCTGGCATGTCATCTTCTTATTAGAAGTGGACACAGAAACCCCGTGTGTGCAGGAGGCCTGGCGGCCAGTGGGAGGTACTCAGACTTGGGGAGGGGTGGTGAGAGAGGGCCCCCGCCCCCGGAAGTCGCCCCACGGGCGCACTCCCAGGCCCGGCCACTCCTGGGTCCCCCTCCTGCCTCGGGCTCCAGTCTTGTGCATCCTCACTCCTGGAACATCCTTCCAACCTATCCCTTCCTACGGAGCCGAGGGGCCCGAGCGCCGGTGCACTGGTGGCCAACCGGATCCCTCAGCCCCCAACCTGGCGTCCCAGGGAAGAGCCAGATCTGCTGCTGCGAGGCCAGGACAAAGCCCTGTCGGACGGCGCCCTCTGTCGGCCGGCTGCGGGGCAACAACAGCCTGGTCCTCCCAATGCACTTCTGGCCGCGGGCGGTGCAGGCATAAACACACACACACACACCAGGCACAAATGCACACTCATGGCCCTGGGCAGCCAGAGCCCCTCCTCTCAGGAGTGAAGGCACAGCAGGTTTGGTGTCCAGGGTCCGGTGACCCTGCAGAAGCCTGCCCGCCCCATGCCCGCCCCCGTCTTCCCCGGGGCACTCAGGGTCAGTGTTGGCTCTGGGATCCTGCCAGGGCCACCCAGGGGTGAGGCCGTGTCTGGGCCTGCCTGCACCAGATAACACATGGCCTCCTGCCCGCCCTGTCTCTGCTAACAGCACTTGTCTGCCCACCAGCAAACGTTTTCACCTAGAATCCAAGGAGCCCATTCCAGGGCCCAGCATTGGCCTTGGGAAGGGGTGGAGCTGTGCCCAGCTCCCAGAGGACACTCAGGACCAGGAACAGCAGTGATGGGAGGAGAAGGCCCAGCTGCTCACAGCAAGCCCAGTGCCCCCACCCCGGCTCCTCCTTCACCTGCCCTCTGAGGTGGTGACTGCGAGGCCCTGACAGAAGTCCCACCAGACTCAGCATCCAGGAGGCCTGGGATCCCAATTTACATGAGTGCCCTGGGCCCCCATCCCTCAGGACTCAGGCACAGAGACACCAAATGGGAAGGCTGTGTTCCCACAGGCAGGGCCGTCTCTCTCAGTCTCTCCAAGAGTTTACAGTTCGCTGTGGGTTAAAGACAAAGGAGAAGAGGGTGAAAGAAGATGAGACGGTTGGATGGCATCATCAACTCAACGGACATGAGTTTGAACAAATTCTGGGAGATAGTAAAGGACAGGGGAGCCTAGTGTGCTGCAGCCCATGAGGTTGCAAAGCGTAGCAGATGACCGAGTGACTGAACAACAAGAGACAAAGGTGTTATTCTTACACCCAGGCTCACAGCAGTGAATTCACAGTGGCCAAGAGGTGCAAGCAGCCCGTGTTCCCCTGACGGATGAAGAGATAAACAAGATGTGGTCCATCCACACGATGGAATATTACATGGACTTAAAAGGAAGGCAATCCTGGTACATGATTCAGCACGGATGCACAATGAGGACATCATGTTTAGCGAAACGAGCCATCATGAAAGGACAAATACTGTAGCATGGGTTCCCATGAGGGCCTCGAGGGGTCAGCGTCATAGAGACAGAACACAGATGGTGGATGCCAGGGTCTGGCAGGGAGGGGGCAGTTCTCATTCGGGAGGAGAAAGTCATGGCGGAGATGGGGGTGCCGCTTGCCCAACAAGGTGAACGTATAGCGGCACTCATAAACGGCCACAAGCCCATGGCTGTCCTGCGTCCCGTGTCCTAAGGAGGGCACCCCACTGTGGGGGAACTTTCTGGGCTGGGTTCCCAGCTCAGGTCAGCATGGCCTGGAATTCCACCTGAGGTTTCTCGTGAAAAACCCCAGCCGAGCAAACAGAAAGCCCTTCATGGTAAATTCATATTCTTGCTGCGTCTCTGTAAACAATCAGGCCAAACCTAGAGAGGCCAGACTCACTTTGTAATTGAGACTCTTTCTTTCTGATTCTTCCTGATCAAAAGTGGGGGTAGGGGGTTGTCGGGGGAAATCTTTGCTCACATGGAAAATTAGGATTTGTCTGATTCTAGAATCTGCACAGAGGACAGCACTGCCTAGAGGCTCTGACACAGACGCGCAGATGGTGTTTCTGGGGTGGAGCAAGGAGGGCCCATCTCAGTGGTGCTTGCGCATTCATGTCAGCACCCACCTGGATCAGTGTGTCTGTCTGTTCGTGATGTTTTCCTTGAAATGGTTGTAACGCTTTGCTGGTTTCCTCAAATGAATGAAATAAATCTTTAACATGTGTTTATTCTTTTTATAAATAGAGTGTTAAATGACATAATAGTCTTTTTGATAGTTTAATAGTCATCATTTAAATAAGGCTTTGGTGTGATTTTCCATATCTCATAGTTTCTTTTTTCTACATATACATCTTGCAGAGTCTATTATTAATCTGTAAGACAACTGGTCCCTCTAGTGTAAACAGGGAGGGAGAAAAACAAGGAGGACAGGGGGTTTCACTGGTCCAGGCTGTGTCCTGCCCAGGAGGGGTGCCCATGCACCCTCACGAGGCACTAGGGGAGCAGGTCCATCAGCAGTGCCCAGGGATTCACAGGAGGGGGCACCAGGGACAGGTCCCCTGGGGACACTTGGTCATGTCAGGAGGCAGGGCTGGCTGTTGGGACTAGGGGCCTGTCTGGTGGGTGGGGGCCAGGGATAGTGCTAAAGACCCTAAAGTGCATAGGACAGCCCCCTCCAGAGCATGATCTGGCCCCCAGTGTCGAAACACAAAGCCAAGCAGGTTCTGGGGGGAGACTCCAGTCGACTGCCTGCCCTGCACCAACATGACCCCAGGGAGGGATGACCGATGGGGCTCATATGAATCTACACAGAACAGACCATGTCTGTCATGAAGCTGCTGCAACTAAAGATACTAATCCATCCACACTGTAGTTTCACTAACTGGAAGAAGGGTGAGACCCCCACGGGCGGGGGAAGCAGGCTGCACCCTCCCTGGGCTGAGGCTCCCTCCCTTTAGGGCCAGGAGCAAAGGGGCCCCTAAGCAGGGCCCAGTTCCCTGCTGATGGTCCAAGGTCCTCAGGGATGTAGGTCAGGGCGGCTAGAGGTCCTCATGGGCGGGGCTCAGGTCCACCCGCTGGGCCTTCCCAAACACAAGGAAGGTGCACAGCCCCAGGCTGCTGATGGCGGCCACCAGGTTGAACACAGATGTCCAGGAGCCCGTGGTCTCGATGAGGTAGCCGCCCAGGCACACGCCCACTACACCTGTACCGCAAGAGGGGACAGGCTGGTTGAGGGACAGACAGGCTGGCTTGAGGACAGGCTGTCCAGCCCCTGCGAGGACAGTGCAGAGAGAAGCTCAGGGCCCTGAGGGCAGCAGGTCTGTCATTGCAATCCAGCCCTCAGCCTCTGAGGACCTGCACATGTGCAGGGGCTCCACGTCATTGTGAGCGTGAACACCACAAAGGGCAGCTCTATTCTCGTCCCACAGCCAGCTCCAGGGTCTGAGCTCCCCCCAACTGCTCTAACACTATGGGACCCCCAAGGGGCACCATGCCCCATCCTGAGGGCTGAGGCAGAGGGTTGGGAGGACACAGGGGTGGGGCAGCTTGAAACCCAAAGGCAGGGGACCCCAGCCCACCTCTCACCTGCCAAGGCCCCGGCTGTGTTGGCCACGCCTGGAATAGGACAGGGAGAATGAGGATTGGTCAGTGGAAGCCCACTGGAACCCTCCCACAGCCCACATGCCAGGGGGTAGGTCCTAGGGGCCCTGAGCAGGAAGGGGCAGCTACTCCCTATTCAAAGAGGGCCTGTGGTCCTTACCAAACAGAAAGCCAGCACAGGAAGGGGCCAGATCCTGGATATTAACGGAAATGCCGCTGCGGGAAAGAGGAGAGAACGGGGGCGAGTGATCACAGGATGACTTCCACCCACCGTGCCAGATGTAGCTCTTTTGATCACCTGGATCCCAGAGGCCAGCCAGGCCTGTCCACCATACTAGGAGGTCAGCCCCAGCTCAGCAGTAGTGATGGCGCAGGACCCACTCCCAGGATGAAATAAGATGGGAGGCAAGCTTGCTTGAGTGCATGCTCAACTTTGCTGCCCAATAATTTGGAAAACGACATCAAGTTCCAACTCAGAACAATTCAGAGCTGTTTTCCTGATTAAACCCTGAGCTGCAGTGCAGGTTGGGGGCCTGTAGAGCAGGTTGTGGGACATGAGGCTCGATCCCCACCTTCAGCTCAAAGGATGCTGCTCAGAGATCAGCATCTCCTCTGCCAGCCCCACCCCAAACACCACTTCATTTTCCCAAAAAGCCCAGGTCCTCACAGGCTCCATTCCTCTTCGCCTCATGGCTCACTCGTGGGGACCTGTCACCACCCACCCTCCATGTGCATGCCGAGATACATGGCTCCTCCCCCGTACCCAAGACCCAGGAGCCCAAAGGCGGCGTGGGGGGCTCTGGTGGATAAGGCGCCTGGCCCTCACCTGTGGTTGAAGGTCTGGAGGCCGATGGAGGCTGACGCGAAGACCACAGAATTACAAAAGCTCGACGTGTGGCCCAGACACAGGGCAAAAACACTGGACAGGCCAAGGCCCATCACCTGCGGGAGAAACAAGTGGGGTCGCGGCGGGAGCCTTGGGCCTTCCTGGGCTGCCCGGGGTGCCCTGAATGAGGGTGAGTGGGGCTCCCTCTCAGGTTGGGCCTGCCCAAGGACATGGGACAAGGCTACCAGCTGGCCATGCTAGTTGCAGCCAGAGAAGCCCCAGTCAACGAGCGCAGACCCAGGCCCAAAAATGGGCACCGGGGCTCAGGGAAGGGCCTCAGTCAGCCAGACCAGTCCCCAGAGCTGACCCAGGGAGTCCTCCGGCCACTGCACCACACTAGCCACCTTCTAGGTCAGGGGCCCCAGGAACAAAAAAGGTCAGAGTGGGAGAGTTGGGAGAGAGAGAGGTCTCAGGACCTTCCTACCTGCATGAACTTCCGAACGGTGATGGTCCTGTAACCTGGACGGGGGAAGACCAGAGAGTCCCGCTGGCCATCTGTGCCACCCACCCCTGACAGCATCTGGAGGGGTCTCACCTGGCAGGGCTGCGGGGAGAGGAGGGCCGGGCCAGGCTCGTGGGGGACAGCCTGCATCACCTGAGCTGTGTGCACATGTGTATGAGTGTGTGTGTGCACTTAGAGGCCTGGCAAAGCAAAGCGCTCAATGATTACAAAATGTTTTCTTTGTGTTTCTGCAAATTTTCTACTTTTCCCTCAGTGAGTGGGTGGTTCCTTTGGTAACAAGGACAAGACTGATATTTAAGGCCATGTAGGGCAGGGTCGTGGGGACCGTGCCTGTGAGATGGTCATCCTCGGGTGTGCATGGGTATGCAGGTCTGTGCTCTGACCCCACCAGGGGGGCTGCGTCTAGCACCCAGGTGGGAGAATCTACTGCTACATGGTGAATATGTCCTCTTCACGGGGAACAGGCTAGGGAGGAGGCAGCCTGGAGGCAGCCATTGGCTGTCAGGGAGTTGGGCACTAGGGCCCCCAGGGCTGGCTCTCTGAACCGGGGACCCACATCATGGCTAGTCCTCAGGGGTGAGGCCTCCTCCTTGCTACAGTGGCACCCAGGAGGGATGCCCCCTCCCCTCCCCCAGGGCTCACCCTGATTGATGAGATGGTCAGAGAGAAGCCCGCTGAGCGGACTGGCAGGAATGGCCACCAGCCAGGGCACCACATTGAAGATCCAGCCCTGGAGGGAGGGAGGGGAGGGACGTAAGAGGTGTCCAGAGTGGGCATCTGGCCACCTGGAGAGGACAAAGGGGTGGGGTGGCCGCTGCCCATGACCACTGTGCAGTAAGTCTCTCTTCTGCCCACAGGCTAGGCCTCCCAGACCCTAATCCATCCCCGACACAGACCGAGCACTGGGCCCACTGGTGCTGTCTCCCCTATGAGCAGGACCTCCTTGTGGCTCCCCACAGGGTGGGGGCAGAGCTGGGGACTGCGTCCTGTCCAGAGTGTGTGACCCGACATTCCTGGTCACCAGACCTGGGGGTCTGGTGGCTGGGCGGCTGGGGTGAAGCCAGCCAGGCTGACTGCAGCACATCTGTGCCCACATCAGGAACCCTGCATGCCCCCCAACCCCAGGAAGGACTGTCCACAGCTGGGTGGGCAGACAGGGCAGCAGCTGGGCCTCTCCTGTGTGCACCCAGGTGGCAGTGCTGAGCCACACGGTGTCAGAACTGCCAGAGCTTGGGCAGAAGGAACCCAGCTCTCTGCACACGCCTTGCGGTGCCCCCCACCCTGCAAGCTGCCTGGTGGCCAACCCACCTTGGAGCTAGGGAAGGTCTCCTTAAAGAAGGTCGGCAGCCAGGAGAGGAGGATGAAGAAGGAGCAGGCCGCCGAGAGCTGGGAGATGATGGCTGCCCTGGGGGGCGGGCGCCAGGCTCAGCATCCACACCTGGAGCCCCTCCCCACACCAGGGTGGCCAGGGGCTGAGAGCGGGGAGCCGAGTGGAGCTGCCTCCACGCCGGCCGCTCCCCTGTGGTGGTGGACCCAGGCCCCCAAACCCCATCCCCACGACAGCCCGCTCACCAGACAGAAGGCTTTCGGAAGAGCTGTCTCCAGGGCACCTTGGTGTGTCTGGACACGGGCAGGCCCTGCGCTAGGATGCCCAGGGCCAGGATGAGATCTGAGGGGGAAGGCAGGTCCACCTGAAAGCCATCCAGGGGAGGATGGACCTGCTCCCAGAGACCAGAGGCTGGGGGCAGCTTGTGGGCCCCTGGCTGTGCGTGGGGGCTGTACACCCTCTCTGCCAGCCTCTGGGGTTGGCAGCACTTGCCTTCGGGGGTGGACATCAGTGCTGACCATCTGTTCCTCGAGCCCTCAAACCTCCCAGGCCCCATTCCTGTCACTGGAGGCCACCACTTCCCCTGCAAACTGCCTGTGCTGGCCGAGCAGCCCCTGCACGTCTGCATTCATCCAACAGCTCCCAGACTTGACCGTAGCCCGGATGAGACTCAGGGAGCAGGCATCCTCTCTATTTGGGGCATCCTTCTCTGGAGGGCAGAGCCGCAGCCCCGGGTCCCCGGGCCCACCTGCTCTCAGGGTTCAGTGGCCCCTCCCTGGAGGGGATGAGGCACCAGGAGGGCACCAGGCCTCCCAACCTCCCCAGGGAGCGGCACGTACCTCTCTCATTCAGGAGACACCTGTACACGTAACCCACCCACAGCAGGGTGAGCCCGCCCGAGAAATAGAAGACGCTTGGCCAGCCGTACCAGTCCAGGAGCAGGGAGCCCACAGCCCCAGTCACCAGCGTCCTGCAAAGACAGTGGGCGTGGCCGGGACCCTCGCTTCACAGGGGCCAGAGCTGCCTCTGGGACCCCAACCTGTGTGAGCTGAGTCCCTGGAAAACAGGGCACCCTGTCATCTGTGGAGCAGCTGCCCAGGAGGGCAGGCTCCGTGCAGGATGCTAGGGGTGCGAGCTGGCAGGGCATTCTGATGCCATGGGCTGGCGTGGACTCAGGCATAGCCACGCAGCCATGATGTGGCACAGGGGCCCCGCTTTGCTCTAGGATCTCCCTACTAGGCCTTCAGTTGCCCTATACTTGCACACGAATCTTTTTAAAATAAAAAGAGGCAACAAGAAGACAGTGATGACAAGAATTCGCTGACATAAAACCACCACGCTGTTTTCAGCTCCTCGTTATCAGAGAGGAGGAAATTTCACAAAGACTTCTAAATGAAAAACAACCTCTAAACCCCACTGCCTCCCTGTGTTCTGCTGATCCTGTGTCCTGGGGGCCTCCCCGCCACAGGCTGGCCTGTCTGCCCAGGAGCTTCTCCCCACTGCCCCCCATCTGCCGAGGCTCGACTAGGAGATGGTTAAAGAAGGAAAAAGCTTCCCACCAAGGCCCGTGGAGGCTGCCTTCTGCTCTGAGCCTCCATTTCCCCATCTGAGGGGAGGGGGGTGGGCACGGACTCTCCCTGTGCCTCCCTTCTACCTGCTCCCACCCAACAGGTCCAGGTCACACAGTGAGATGGGATTTCAGATGCACTGTGAACCTTTCTTGCTGTGATTCATCTCATATTGCTTCTCTGAAATTCATGTTTCACTGGGCACCCAGGGCTTCCATCTGGGCAGCTCCCAGCACCCCCACAGGCACCCCTGGCTCCTCTGCATTCTTGCCTGGAACTTGGCAGCAGTGAAGTGAGGCCCTGAACCCAGGGGTTGTAAAGCCCCATTAGGACAGCAAGACACCCCATGGAGGGTCTGGTGCTCTGGGGGACATGCAGTGGAAAGGGACACAGGATCAGATCTGTCATGACTGGACCACGATAGGTGCCCTCTAAAGCAAACGCAGGCCACCTCCCCCATGGGAAAGGCCCCCATCCAGTTCTGTCAGTGCAGACGGAAGGGAACATAAGTGGGCAAGAGCCCCAAAGCCCATTTCATCTGCCTCTGGCCCCAGGGAGACAGAGCAAACACAGTGATGGGAGGGGGGCGGTGGGCAGCAAGTGCCTCCAGGAGCAGACTCTCCGTGTGTCACCATCACTGAACCTGTGTGGCCCTGTGGCATTCGCACAAGTGGCCTGTCCCCGCCAGCCCCAGGCTGGGACTTACCCGAACTGGGAGCCGGCCCCCACGGTGCTGTAGGTGAAGGCTCGCTCACTCTCCCGCACCTTCTGGGACAGCAGGCTGGTCAGCGCAGGGAAGTAAACCCCTGGAGCAGGTGGAGAAGGAAGGGGCCATGTGGAGCTGTGTCCCGAGCCAGCTGGCCCACAAGGCCCACCAGGGCAGCAGGTCGAGGCATGAGAGATGGGCTGGAAGTACCAGGGGCCCTGGGTGATTGTCCAAGCCCAGGTCTCCTTCCTCCTTGCATCACCCCCAGGACAGTAGATCTGGGCTTTTCCTGACACTTGGCTAAGGAGACATTCAGCTAGGGCAGTTGGGGGTGGTGCGGAGGGGAGTTATGCCGGCTCTCAAGGCCACAGGGCCCCAGCGTCCTGGCACTGACACAGGGGATCATGCACACACGTGACAAGTGCACACACTAACACACACGGTGCACGAATGTCGGGTGAGACCTGCAAGGCCTTGAGGGACCACAGTGCCGGGTCCTGGCTGTGACATTGCCCTGTAGCTATGGGATATGTCGCTGCAGGGAGTTGGGGGGGCGGGGGGGGAGCAGCTTTGGGCCTCCCTGCAGCTTTCATTGCAACTTCCTGTGAAGCTATAATTATTTCAAAATCTAGTTTTGAAAAAAACAAAACTGTACTGGGGGCCTGCAACACTTGCCTGTTACACTGGGTTTTTCTCCAAAAGCACCCAGGAGAGGCTCAGAGGCAGGGGCACTGGGAAAGGACATGGCCCCCACCTTCCCTTTGGAACCCAGCACTGCCCACACCAAGCGCTGGTCAGCCAGGGTAAGAATTGCCCCTGGACCCCTAGTCTGTTCACTGTTACAGGCCACACAGAGAAGTCCTTCCGCCTCCTAGGAGGGTGGGGAGAAACAGCCGGGTGACCAGTGGGCAGCCACCAGCCAGGTGTCACACAGCTTAGTCCTGCCTCAGCTGCAGGACAGGCAGTACTAGACATGGTCACGTGGGGTGAGTTGGAAGGAGTGCAGGTGCTGGACTGCCTGGAGCACCAGGACCACCCCTAGGCTGGGCTGATGGGGCTGATCAGGAATCAGGGAGAGGCCCAGTCCAGGATGTCTGGGATCCTAGGGGTGTTGGCTGGAGGCAAGCCCACCCCCAGCCCAGGCTCTGGGAAGTGGGAGATATGGTAAGGAACGGGGTGTATCCTGTCAGATGCCAGGCTGGGGTAGGGCAGGAACTCAGAAGGTTATCCCACCCCCGGAGGGAGGGTGTGAGACCCTGCCACCAACTCCCCCCGCACCCCGGGGGCCTTTGAGGAGCCCTCTCTCCAGAAGTGTAACGTCCCCAAAGCATGAGACCTAGAGGTCTTGGGAATGCTGGCATCCCTCTGCCCACTGGCCCAGCCAGCGTGGGGTGTGGCCTCCAACTGGGCATATCTCCATGGTGGGGCTGACAGCACCACGAGGCAGCCTGGTGGCCACCATCCCTGGAGCAGAATTTGTGGCGGGAGGACATGTGACATTAGAACGTGCCAGCCAGCCTGTGAAGTGACTCTAGAAAACAGAAAGTGTTCGGGTGCCAAGGCACCAGAGCACAGACAAACACCGGTGCAGGGATGTGAGACTGAGAGCTGGCTGGCCGCCAGTGGGAAGGGTCCTCCACTGGCCACTAGGCGCGGCCTCACCAGCAACAGCCTTGGGTGCTTATGCACCCGCTGTGATTTGAGGCAGAGTCTGAGGCATACCATACATAGGCCCCCACATGAGGACACGTATGCATGCTCAAGAACACCTGCCTGAACACACACCCATACGCACAGGTACACACACACACACACGTGTGCACACAATCCCTTGCTTTGCTGTGCTTGGGCCCCCACCTTGGAGCAAGCCCGTGAGGATGCGAGAGAAGGTCATGAAGGCCAGGTGGGCACTGCCAAGGTGCGCGAGCAGTGGAGTGGCCACGGTGATGAAGCCCCAGGCAGAAGCTGAGAGCAGGATGACCTTCTCACCGCCGATCCTGCAAGGGGGACAAGAGGGAGGCCATGCGGAGCTGTGCGGCCAGGCTGCCAGGATGGGCTGGACCAGGAAATCTTGCTGAGGAGGGGATGGGGTCCCCAAGGAGCCAAGCACCCCAAGACAGCTGAGTGCTGGCCAAGCCCACCCCTGCTCAGACCTCGGATCTTCCAGTCCCTACATTCTGTTCCTAGGAGGCCCCTCTCTCAGCCTGGCCTGGGGGGCAGGGATTACCGGTCCCCCAGGTGGCCGCCCACCACCTGAGTCAGGCAGTAGCCCCAGAAGAAGCTGCTGAGCACGACACCGGCCTCTTTCTTGTTCCAGCCGAAGTCCTGGCTCATGGATGCGGCGCAGACAGGCATGCTGACGCGGGCACAGTAGAGCAGGCATGTGCCCAACAGCAGCGTCCCTGTCCATACCTGGCACTCGGGCCTGGGGAGAGAGAGGCTGATGTGAGGGACAGCTTGGCCACCTCTCGAACGCCCACATGCCCCTGTCTGGTGACTCCTGGGAGGAATAGGCAGATGCTAGAAATGACGCCTGAGGTCCCTGAAACAGCGGAGGTGGAGCACACGGTGGCCAGCAAGGGCAGGTTAATAAGCTGCAGTGGGGGAGATCCAGTGCTCCAGGACATAGGCACTCAGTTTCCACAGACCAAATATAACCCACCAAGGGGGCAATGGGCTGGCAAGAGGACCCCAGCTGAGGCAGAGGGGAGGTAGGAGCAGTGCTGTGGCCCCTGCAAGGCCCCCAGGAAAGCTGGGTCTGCTCAGCAGACCCAGGGGAAAGTGGTGTGAGGTGGCCAGCATGCCGTGGGGGCCAGAGGCCCCTTAGAGGAGCCTGGGCAGCAGGGAGGCAGCCCTGATCTCCTAGGAAGGTTGCCAGACAATATCCATATGGGGACTGTCTTCCAAACTCCTGGCCAGCACTCCTCAATTATCAGTCACCAAATCAGGAGAAGCCAGAGACAAGAGCCCAGGGGCTCAGCACCTACGGGACCCTGGTCCAAGGTGGGGTGGGAAGAGGCATCCCAGGACATCAGGGGGAAGTGCAGGACCCAAGCACAGTGTGGCTCGGTGGCAGTACTGTCCACGGCAGTCCACGGACAGTGACAAATGGACACTGATCTGGGCTGTGAAAGGGGGACTCTAGTATGGGGCACAGGGAAGTCTTTACCGGCTTCGCGGTAGCTCTGTAAATCTGTGTGTGCATACTAAGTCGCTTTAGTCATGTCCAACTGTTTGAGACTCTACTTTGGGACTGTAACCCACCAGGCTCCTCTGTCCATGGGATTCTCCAGGTAAGAATACTGGAGAGGGTTGCCAGGCCCTCCTCCGGGGGATCTTCCTGATCTAATCTACAACTGTTCTTAAAGATGAGATGGGGGTGGTGGGATTTTTAAGTGAGAGAGAGAAGAGCCTCAGTGCCCTTTCCGTCGGGGGAGGATGGGGAATGGCCTGGGGGAGGGCACCGCTAGTGACTTGTGATGTCTTTGTGCAATGTGGGGACATCCCCTGTAGGGGTCACAGCAGTGGGGAGTTCAGGAGGGGGGAGGCCTTGAGGCAGCCTTGGGGTGTCTTGGGGATACTGCATACACCTGGGCTCACCTGCCTAGCTGGGGCAAGGGTTCTCCTGGGGCAGGGGTGAGGTGGGGAGGTCAGGAGAGTGGGGAGGCCTTGAGGCAGCCTTGAGGGGGTGTCTCGGGCATCCTGCTTACACCTGGGCTCACCTGCCTAAATGGGGCAAGGGTTCTCCTAGGGCAGGGGTGAGGTCGGGGGGCAGGGAAGTGAGATGCTGCTCAGGTTGTGGGGAGGAGACAGGGCAGAGGCTTCAAGTCTGCCCCGCCCCCCCACCCAACATCCCCAGGCCTGGCGGAAAGGGGCCAAGGCATCAGTGCTGTAAGGCCTTGGGCAGGCCACTGGGCAGGCAAGGTCGGCAGGAGTGCATGGGCAATTCTCAGAACAGTTCAGTTTAGTTCAGTCGCTCAGTTGTGTCCAACTCTTTGCGACTCCATGAACCGCAGCATGCCAGGCCTCCCTGTCCATCACCAACTGCTGGAGTCTACCCAAACCCATGTCCAAGAGAGGGAATTCCCCTGTGATCCAGTGATTAGGACTCTGGGGCAGGGGGTGGGGGCTGGGGGGTGGGAGGTGGGTTTCAATCCCTGGGCGGGAAACTAAGATCTCACAAGGCATGCAGTGGTGTCGCCAAAAAAAAAGGAACAGAGGGCAGGGACCTCAAACCTGGCAGATGAGCCAGGACCCTGGAGTCTCACCCTTGCGCCCCAAGCCCATTCAAACCTTTGAACCCCTGTCTGGACCTGGCGTGGGGTCCCTTGGCTGCCTCGCTGGGCATTGGCCTGAAAACAGTGAGAGGGGCCAAGGGCGGCAGAAGCTTGGACTCCATCTGTGGGCACGGAGGCATATCCCCTCCCTGTGGCATCCCCCCAGGCTGAGGCAGCCTTGAGACAGTCCAGGGTGAGGCCAGGACCAGCCCTGGGAGGGCTGGAGCCCTTGCCTGGACGCCTCCCAGGAGTAAGAGACCTCAGAGGCCCTGAGTGTAACTTTGTACCCTGAGCCAGTGGGCGTCGCGCACCAGGAGACTGGTAAATGGGCGTGATGGGCCATGTCCATTATCGCCAGGTCATAGCCACTGCCACCTGGGGCAAGTGCAGCCACATGGTGGGGGCGGACACGGGCCCAGCCACCAGGCCTCCTGAGCTTCAGTTTCCTCGGTGAAGATGGGCTCATTCCCCTGACGCCTGTCTCCCTCACAGGTCAGTGACTAGCAAGGTGACTGCCAGCACCCGAAGCCCCAACAAGGAGCTGTTGACTGGGGGGGTGGGGCCGGGGGAGGCTTGGCAACAGCATCCGCCTCATGCCAGCATTTCCCCCCCAACCCAGTTCCGCTCCCCCTGGCAAATCAGTGCACTTTCCCAAAGGCTAGGAAACGAGATGGGGAGCCTTCCTGTGTCTCAGGCTTGCAGAGGCCCTGGGTGGGGGGAGGCTCAGGGCCACATCATCCAGCTGCTGCCCCTTGGAGGCTATGGGGTCCTGCAATCCCACCAGTGGAGACAGACCTCCACTCGAGGGGACTTGGGGGGCATAAGCCCAGCCTGCTTCCCCAGAGGGTTGTGTTTGCCAGTTAGGAGTCTGGGAATTACTGTCCAAAGTGCTGTTAGCTCTGGACGAAGGGAATGGTCTGATGTGATGAGCAACTCTCCCAAGGAGACACTTGGGTGCTACTCTGGGCCCCAGCCTGACTGGGGGAGCCCCCCTTTCCCTGGGCCTCAGTTTCCCCAGGTGCATGGACCACAGATTTCATGCTGCGTCTCTGGTCTCTGGGTGCCTTGAGGAGGGGCAAGGATGGGGCTCCTGGGCAGTACTCTGTGACAATTTGCATTTTATATTAGAGCTTCCTATGAGTCCAGTGGGAAAGTGTCCCATGTTGGAAGGCCCGCCGTTCTGCAGTCCCAGGAGTCACCTGCTCAACTGGTTGGGGGCAGGTGCCCCCTTGGAAGCTGCCTAGTGACCCTCAGTGACCAGGGAGAGGCCATTGTGCCCCCACCTTCCTTCCTGGTTGGCAAAGTGTGACTGGAATGACTCAGAAGTGGGGATAGCAGCGCAGTGGCTGATGAGGCAGGTCTGGGGGCTGCCCCTCTCGAGAGGCGAAGCGGGGGCAGAACCCCATAGGGCAGGTCGAGGACTCTCCTGGGACCTGGTGGCCTCAAATGCTAATTTTCTTTACAGAACCAGACTGTGAGTGGGGTCTGGGGGTAGGACAGGGGAGGGGCATCAGGAAGGCCAAGGAGGCCACAGGAGGCACTGGCTCAGAGACCCCCAGAGGAGCTCAGGGACTGTCTCCTCTGGGGCTCTTACCGTGGAAATGACGTCTCCAGTCCCCTCTTGCCCCCACTTTTCCAGCCTGGCACAGCAGGCCAGCCGGCAGGAGTGGGCAGAGGACTGGTGAGTGCAGGTCCATGAGCCTCAGAGGTTGGCGCAGGGTGACCTCCACCGCCTGCAGGTGAGCCCTGCGAGCCCAGGCACAGGGGAGCAGAGCTTCTAACACCCACGAACAGCCACAGCTGGAAGGTGCTTTTAAAAAGGAAGCTTTGACCATTACAGTATACTAACACATATATATGGAATTTAGAAAGATGGTAACGATAACCCTATATGCAAAACAGAAAAAGAGACTCAGATGTATAGAACAGACTTGTGGACTCTGTGGGAGAAGGCGAGGGTGGGATGTTTCAAGAGAACAGCATCGAAACATGTATATTATCTAGGGTGAAACAGATCACCAGTCCAGGTTGGATGCATGAGACAAGTGCTCCGGCCTGGTGCACTGGGAAGACCCAGAGGGATCGGGTGGAGAGGGAGGTGGGAGGGGGGACCGGGATGGGGAATACATATAAATCCATGGCTAATTCATTTCAATGTATGACAAAAACCACTGCAATGTTGTAAAGTAATTAGCCTCCAACTAATAAAAATAAATGGGAAAAAAAATAAATGAAACAGGAAACTGAAAAAAAAAATAAAAAATAAAAAGGAAGCTTTGTTGCTTTCTGTGGCCAAAGTTATGAAGGGTCACCTGCATAGATGGGACCGCACCCCCAGCACACCTGCCCCTCCTTTGGATGCAATCAGCCAGCGCCCCAGGAGCCTGGTTCTGTTTGCTCTCTGGGTGGGAAGTCCAGTTGGAAACCAGGGAAAACCGGCTGAGACTGGCCTACTCTGGAAGGCTGGCAGGGCACCTAGAGGTCAGGAAAGGCATCAGCTTCCAGACCACCAGTTGGCCCTGAGCTTAAGGCACCAGAATGGGGACCCCCACAGGAGTTGGGGGACCAGGTGCTATGTGCTTCCTCCCAGGGCCCTGGAGGACCCGCAGCCCTGTCCCTGAGCCGGCAGGCAGTGCTGCTGGCCGGGTGAAGGGACATCCTCCACAGGTGCTGGGGACACAGAACCAGCAAGTCTGCTGGTGCAGGCAACCCAGATGTGGCGACTGATCAGAACGCCAGACCCAGAATCCTGGTCTCCGGAAGGGCTTGCTGGGAATACGTAAGGTCATGACAGGATCAGCCATGAAAAGTCCCGAAGACCTTCATCCCCTCATTCTGCCCAGTCCTGAGTCTTGTCCATGCCCCCAACTTTTCTAGAAACCTCTGCTTCCTGCCAAAGGCCCCCATGCCTGAGAAGCACCCATGGTTGAGCAAACACGAGGTCACGTGGACCCTCGATTCAGAAAAGGGAACTGTGCCTGCTGCTGGGGACAGAGGGCAAGGGCCAGAGAGAAGTGGGGCTGAGGCTGCCGGCTGCCCTGTCAGATATGTCCCTGGGGAACAGCCCTGCCTCTGGGTGGTCCACACAGCAGTCAGCAGCTGCACAACCCTTTGTCACAGTTCTCATCACCTTTATCCACACAGGGTGTGAACCACTCCACCCAGGACCCTGCTGCCTGCCTGTAAGGTGCTCCTTTCTAAACCAGGCAGGGAGGGAGGGAGGTGGTGAAGGCAAAGCCAGACTGTTACAAAGCAACAGGACTCTCTAGAAGCTCCAGCCCTCTGCCCAGCCGCCTGCCTGCAGAGCTCCTGTCACTTGGGTTGGCTCCTGGGTCAGCTCGAGGGAGGAGGCCTGCCTAGACAACCAGCAGGGTGGGGAGGGAGCAGGCGAATGGGAGGCAGTTACACCCAGTGTGCAGCCCTCCTGGCACCCGGCACTTGGTGGGTGATTTGGGCTCTAGAGCTCCCCTGTCCTTGCGCCCTGTCCCCAGGGAGCCCCTGGCTTCCAAGGTCTTCCTGTGACTGTCTCTGGGAGGCTGGGGGAGGGGAAGGTGGAGGTGATGAACCGGCCCTGGAAGCAGGGCCAGTTCAGGGGAGGCAAGGGAATGTCAGGGGAGGCAGGGCCTAACGTTCACTGACTTGGGGACCTCAGTACCCCCAGAACCGGAGGGGGTTCTCTTGCTCCTGGTCACTGTGTGAGGCACGCTGAGGGGCAGAGCCCCCAGCCCAGGGCCATGACCTGCCCAAGGTCTCCCTGTATGGTGAACCCCCAGCCCTGCGGGGGGGGGGGGGGTGCCCTTGTGTGCATCACACAGCTGGCCCAGGATGGCAGGGGTCAGAGACTGCTGCAGGTTCCAGCGTAGCCCCCTGCCCCCAGCCCACTGACTGGGCACCTACAGGTGGCCCTCAGGTGGGTGGTCACAGGTGGGGGCTGGGGACTGTCAACTTGTGTGGTCCTGAGCTGGGAGGCCCTGCCCCCAGCCCTCCCATCCCCCAAGACCCGACCTAGCCTGCAGAGAACTGACGGCGCACTGGGGAACCGGGCCCTGGATGGAAGGGAGGCGGCCGGGCGGTCCGTGGCCCCTAGGCGGAGCAAAGGTGCCGCCGGCAGGCGCTGTCTCCGCCCAGGACGCCCGCACCCTCCCCTAACCATCCCCCGACGCGCGCGGCCCCACCTGGACCACTGGGTGTCCTCGGCCGCGTCCCTGCGGGTCTCATCCGGGGGCGGCTGCATCGGGCGCGGACGGCGCGGGCGCAGCGTGTCCGGGGCCGCTCCCGCCCGGCCGAGCCACCGGGCAGCGCCGCCCAAGTCCACGTGTCAGTCCCAACGGCGCTTCCGTCCGGCGCGCTCCCAGGACGTGTCGCCCCCGGACAGCCACCGCGGGGGGCGGGCGGGCAGGGCGGGGCCCGCAACTCGGTACCCGCCCCACTCACATCCGTCGGGGAGGCCGGGCCAGGCGCTCCCGCGGTCGGGGCAGACCCCTGCGCGCCCCGGGCCTTCTCGCGGCCGCCGCGGACGTCCGGGACGGCGCGGGCGCTTCCCCTGCAGCTGGCCGGAAGGATGGGGCTCTGGAGGGGCTGAGCTGGCGGTGACCCTGGCAGGCAGCCTGCATGCCGTCCACACATGGGGGGCTCCTCACCCCGCAGGGCTGTGCACACCTCAGGTGAGAGTTGGGGTTGGTCTCACCCACTGCAAGGGGAGCAAGACTGGAAGGGAACCAGTTTCAAGATGGGTCTTTGAAGGTGGGCTCTGGCCCCGGGACCCTGGAGCAGTAGGGGGAAGCCTGGCGATCCAGAGCCCACGGAGGGGACCGAGTGTTCTGACTCCTGGCAAGTGCCAGGCCCCACCCTCGGATCCCTGGATCCTCGCTCTTGGGGGGATTCTCGTGACTTCAGAAGTCCTGACGCCCAGGGGTGGTGGGCACAGCCACAGAGAGGCAGCAAGTGGACTTCTGGGCAATTCCGCTTCTCCCAGCTGCTGCCTCTTCACACCCACAACCCCACCTCCACCCCACTCCCCTGGGTTCATCCTTCACATGGCAGCCTGGTGAACCTGGCCGGGTCACACCAGGAGAAAGCCCTCTGAACAAAACCTAAAATGCCCTACCCCTTGGCCTTGGCCTTCCCCCTCCCCCAGCTCCTTCTGTGCAGTGGTGCCCACCGCAGGCCTGGCTCGCCCTGTTCCACACATGCTAGGGGAACAGGTGGCACTTCTTCTACCCATACGATGCTCAATGGGACAGAAAGATGGTGTGGAGAGAGGGGTGCTCCCCCAAATAACCCAGGACTGAGGAAAGTGTGAGAATCCTTGCTAAATTCTACCTGGCAGTTCACTGCCACCTACTGCCCCAGGCGCTTTGATGATGATTTAAAAATTTTATTTTTGGCTGCATCGGGTCTTTTTTTTTTTTAATCTATTTATTTACTTTAGGCTGTGCTGGGTCTTCGTTGCTACACAGGCTTTCTCTAGTTGTGATGAGTGGGGGTTACTCATCGTTGTGGTGCATGGGCTTCTCACTGCAGTGGCATCTCTTGTGAAGCACAGGCTTCAGTAGTTGTGCTGCTTGGGCTCAGCAGTTGCGGTTCCCAGGCTCTGGAGCACAGGCTCAGTAGTTGAGGTGCACTCACTTAGTTGCTCCGTGGCATGTGGGATCTTCCCGGATCAGGGATCCAACCTGTGTCTCCTGCATAGGCAGGTGGATTTTGAACCACTGAGTCACCAGGGAAGCCCTGCATTGGGTCTTAGTTGTAGTATGCAGGATTTCTCACTGCAGTGTGCAGACTTCTCTCTAGTTGTGGCATGCAGGCTCAGGAGTTGCAGCACATGGACTTACTACTCACCCCACAGCCTGTGAGATCTTAGTTCCCTGGCCAGGGATCAAACCTGTGTTCCCTGCATTGGAAGGTGGATTCTTAACTACTGGACCACCAGGGTAGTCCCTGATGGTGATTTTATGTGAAAACCTAGAGCCGCACCATGGGGGACATTTGTCATTTGCTTACCCAAAGCCCCTCTGCTCCTGGAGCTGTGCATGAGCAAAACACAGAAAGGAAACCAAGAGGGCAGGGAAGGGTGGCTTCTGCCATGGGATGGGCTGGGAAGTGTCCCTGAAAAGACCTGCGTATCAAGTCTGAGAGCAATGAGCAGGGCATGGGGGTGGAGTGGGCAGAGGCCCAGGGTAGCTTCAGGACCACAAGGAGCCTGGTGGGTGAGTAAGGGGACAGGAAGCGGGACAAAGCAGTGGGGAAGGGCAGGCTCATGGGTCTTGGTGGTCAGGTAGAGTCCAGCCAGGGCTCTGACACTGGAAGACCTAGAGGGTCACAGGATCACCCTGGCTGCCATGAGGACCACTCAGGGTGGCCAGAGCAGAGGCAAGGAAGGACAGGCCACTGCAGTACTCCAGGCCCAAGGTGAGGAGGCTTTGGCTAGTGGGGAACAAGAGGTGGAGGGTTGCTCGGAATGCACAGAGGCCAATGGAGGGCCAGGGGCGAGCATCTGACCCCTTCCTGAGCCTCTGAGCTGGGCAGGGTCATCCTCCATGGGGCAGAAGATCTGGGCGTCAGCTAGGGCTACTAGACCACATGTCCCAACCCGAGAGGAAGCCACGCTCACGTTGGCAGCAGCTGGACACGCCTCCAGCTTCCAGTAACCTCTGTGAGGGACCTCATATCCAGCCAACCCACTGTTCCTGAGTTTCAAGGTGGAGAGTGATCAATGGGTTGTGTACAGAGACTAGCCCTGGCCTCCAATGCTGGTGACAGCTGTTCCGGCCGTGCCCACTGGTGTTGGGGCCTTGGCTCTTACTCGTTTGGGGCCTGTGCACCTTGTGTGAGTTTTACTTCCAGTCTTGCTGCCTAGACACACCACAAAGGCCTCACGGCTATGTCGTGACTTCACCTTCCTCAGCCTCCAGAGACGTACCTACTGCGCAGCACAGATGGGCTGCTACACCTGGCACAACTTCTGGTCAAGTGCAGCCCCGCTGGACCATGGCCTGGGTGTCCCTGGGGTCCTCACCACCTCTGGCCCCTGTGTAGCCCAGTCAGCATTTGGGGAAAGCACAGACGTCACACTGCTTTAGGAAAGCTGCACACCACATGCTTGCTCTGCATGTCGATCTTCAGGGGGCATCCTGGCTGGACGGCACAGCCAGGCTTGCAGCCACCAGGCTCACCCCTGGCATTTCAGTCTGCACCAGGACTCATCCCAACCAACAGCTGCCTTTTCTAGAAGCTGGAAACCTAATTCAAATAACAAAATACAGTATTTCTCATGTGCCTTGCAATAATCCCTATGCTTCGGAAGAATCCAAACTAGGGGTCATTTCTCATGTGACTTCACAATATCAGGAACACAGAGCACCAAAATATTGTCATGTTTTATTTATTTCAAGGCACTTTCCACCAGAAAGTGTAAAAAAGAAGAAATAAACTACCCTGGTAAAACATCACATTTTAACAAACATGACAACGAGATCCAAATGAGATGAAGTAGAAAAATCGACATACTTAATGTTCATTATCTTGAAATGCTTACTGAAAAATGCTTACTGCAAGAGGAGGAAACAGAAAAGTCTGCAAAGCCGGCCCTTTAAAGATTTCCAGCCCATGGGAAAGGAACCACGCTCTTTATACAAAGGAAAAGAACCTAACAGCACCATCTGAATTCTCCACATCTCGCTGGCACCCAGCTCACATGGGTCTTTGCACTGACTGGTCAAGCCCCTCACTGACTAAATGGTGAACAAGCCAGCATTCGACAACACTTCCTACACGTGACAGGCCCTCCTCAGGTCCCCATAGTTTATGGATGATTCTTACCCAGTAATATACATCTCAAACCCGCTATTTTGAAAAATGTCAGATTGACTATGTTAATGATGCACATAAATTATCTTATATACACTAATAATAAAGGATAGGAATATGCTGAATTACTTCGTGCTTTTCGAAAAGTTTAATTTTACCTCTACTTCCCTAATTTTCTTCAGCTTCTGCTGTATTTATCACCTGAAAATTAAAGGCCCCTTTCTCCCTACTTTTATTCCCAAATCTTAAGAGGAAATGATCATACAGAAAGGTCACATCTGAGTTGATGACTGAGACAGAGGTGAAGCTCATCACTTCCAAGGGGTGAGCAAAGGACCCCTCCCAGGACCTGATGGTCTCCTGATGGTCTACGAAGACCTCAGCACTTTTACCTTTGCTCTGTGACTGGGGAGGGAAAACTCTGCCTGAAGCTGTACCCACTGAAAACCAGTGACCTGCAGCCTCCAAGCGCAGGTGGAAATGAGTGGGGAGAGGAGCTGAAGCCAGAGACCCTGCGGGACAAACACTGAGTGTGTGGGGATGTGACTGAGACACCCCACAGCTGGAGCGGACCTGACCTCCCTGAAGCCAGGGACCAGCTGAGCACCAAGGCCAATGGACTCGCCAGATTTGTCTGCTGATGATGTGTGTCTTTGCGGAGCCCAGGTGCCAGCACAGCCCACCCTGCGGGAGTGATCAGGTAAGAACTGAATCCCAGCCACGCAGGTGCTCCCATCAGAGGATGTGTGGGGGTCACCAGCCCCAGGAGCTCTACATGCCAGGGCCCCTCCATCTCCACCAGCCTCAATGAAGGCCAGCAGCTCTACACTGGCACCCTGGGCCATGTGCCCCGAACCCCAACACCCGAGCCTGCACTCAGGACTCTCTGACGGCTGTGGGCACTGGGCAGGGGACAGACGTGAGGGAATAGGAGCTTGATGTCTGCCAGACTGGCGGACAGAGGGAGAGGCAGAAGTGTGGGTCACAGAGCCCACAGCACCGTAGCGCACACCTGGCACCACCACGTGTTACCGGGAGCTGCCCCCTTCTGGCTGTAGGTACCAGACAGTGTCACCACGGTCACCCTGGGGAAGCCACCCCAAAAGCAAAAGTTGTGCTCGAGATGATGAACACTTCTGAGAGACCACTGTGGTCATTCTTGAAATTAAGGAGAAACCTTTATTTTCAACAAAAGTGCCCAGGAGAGATGGTTCATTGATCCACTAGGAAAGAGTCTCTCACCACTTACAGCACCAAAATATATATTTAAAAAATTAAAAAACACACAGCCCACCCCGCATACACACACACACACACCCATCTCCCCCAAAGCCACACGACCCAGACCAAACAGGAAGACAACCAAACTGAGTGCCCTCGCACAAAAGAAGTCTTTGAATTGGGGTTTACAAATTCATATAGTCTTTCCTATGAAAAAACAAAAACAAACCAAAAACCAAAGAGGGAAAGAAAACACTTCTACACGAAGGCCGGCCGTGATGGGGGGGAGGAGGACACGCTGTCCTCCTGGATGCTGACAGAACAAGACGGTCATCAGTGCTGCCTGGTGCTCTGAGCGGGGCCTCGAGTGGACTAGCGGCCCTAAGATGAGGCGCCTTCAGGAGATGAAGTGCCCAGAACGCCGAGCACATGCCATGGGGCAGTCCTTGCCGGCCTTCCAGAAGAGACAGTATCTTGCACTGGGAGTTTTCCAGTGCTTAAAAGGGCCACGTTCCCTTTCAAAATGATGCTGGGTCAAAAAAAAACAAAAAACAAAAACACAAACAGTAAAAGAAGGGAGAAGAGAGTCCTCTGCTGCCGTAAAAATCTTCAGTCCCAGGTGGCACCCGCGGGCCCAGGGCCATGCAGCGGGGCCCCACACATACTACTTGGGCTCCTCGATCACGCCTTTGCTGAGGTCTGTCATTTTAGGGTATTTTACTTTCTTCTGGTCCAGCTCATTCTGAGCCCAAAGGAGTAGTTTCAGCAACTTTGCCAGCTTGGGTGTTGACTCACGATTCTCGTAATCCAGGACAGCTTGGTTCACTTCACTCCACACCTATAAAATGGACAGCCAATAAAAACCACCTCACACACAGAGCACCTGCAAAAAGGATCCATTATAAGATGCACCTTATATGTCTTCAAAACCATTTTTACACGAGAGGCTGGCTACTTATTTAAACAAACATGAAGCCTGTGACCGTTGGGCACTCTGGGGATGTAAAACACACTCCCTGGCCAGAGGGGCACACGGTATGGTCAGCAGATGTCACATCTGGCTGGGCATGAGGGGACTGGCAGGGAGGAGGGACCAGTTCCACCCAACAAGCCCTAGGAGGACACCTGATGTAGACCCCAAGGACATCCTCTTTTCAGGGCAGTGAGGGCAGTGGAGAAGGGGAACTGTGGTCAGGGAGCTGCCCTGTTGGTGGGAACATAGAAGTCATGACAGAGTGCAAGAAAGTATCCAAAGCAAGTGTGGGATTTTCATCAAAAGATACTTGGAACATCTGTTCCTAAGAGTCTCCACACAGTAAGCCAGCTCAGATTAAAAAAAAAAAAAACAAGCAAAGAGGCTTAACTATCATTTAAGGGTCTCTACACCCTGGGCTCCTAGTATGACACAAGTAAAGTGTGGGGCCCTCCCAGCAGTGTCACACCACACACACCACCCAGTTTCCTTGGAAATCCTGCCCTGAATATCCACAGAGGGTGTGGACGGAAGCCCTCTGGAGCCCACCTTCTGCCTCTGCATCATGTTAAGCAGGTCTCCGAAGGGGGAGTCCTCGGGGTTGTCAAAGGCCAGCAGGGCCAGTGTGCGCTCCATCTCGGTCAGACACTCGCGGCTTTCCTCACCCTGCTCAGCCAGCTGGGTCTGTGCAAACTCCAGCGCCGCCTCTGTCTCCCGCTGGCGGATCAGCTCGATCAGGTGTTGTTGCTGGTTGGGGGCCAGGCAGACAGGGGTGAACACCTTGCGCCCAGCCAGAGACACCCCCCACCCCAGGGCTGCACCTGCTTCGTATGAAAAGGGCCTCTCAGAGGACAGAATTGTTGAGTACTCCAAGCTCCTGAATTTGCACTTTCAAAGCAAGAAACAGCTTCTGAGATACATGGCAGAGCAGCTAACCTAAACCCCTTCCCTCGTCAATTACAGCAATATTCTAACGAAATTAGCCTCGTTACCTCTCAATAACAGAAAGCAGCTGTCCCCAAGCTTTCTGGAAAAGGGATTGGCTACCTACTCCAGTATTCTTGCCTAGGTAATTCCATGGACAGAGGAGCCTGGCGGTCTACAGTCCACAGGGTCACAAAGAGTTAGACATAACCGAGTGACTAACACGTTCACTTGCCAAGCTTTCTGGCACCAAAGACCTGTTTTGTGGAAGACAATTTTTCCCCTGGACTGGAGTAGGGCGGGGATGGTTTGGGATCACTCAAACACATTACATCTATTGTGTCCTTTATTTCTAATGTAATGTTGCCACTGACCCAACAGGTCTGTGGCCCGGAAGTTGGGGATGGCTAACATGAAGAACCTTAATTCATCAAGTGTCTGCAAACAACTCACTTGCAGATGGAAGTAGAGATAGCGGTTTGTGTCCAGCAGCTCTGGGTGGAGGCTGTTGATGAGCGCAATGGCCTCCTGAATCTGGCCTTTCAGTATCATCTCACGGATTTTGATTCGCTCGTCAAGTGTTTCTAGATCAACACTGGGTTCAATCCCAGATTCCATTCGAAACTTCTCCGCTGCCTCCTTAAAGCCCTCTGGAAACGAAAACTACCTTCACTGCTCAGAAAATCAGCAAGATACCAACACCAGGGCTTTTTATCCCATCCTGTGAGTGAAAACCTCTAGTAAGAACTGCACTTTCTTGGAACGTGGGATTCACACCTCTGTGACTTACCAGCTACACTTCCTTTCCCCCGCCCCGCCCAACTCTAACTTCCAGTCAGGGGAGGATGGGCGTTGAGGCCCCCCGCACTAGGGTCCAGGCCTATGTGGAGAAGCTGCTAACCTGCTCCAGGGGCAGCACAGTGCCCTCCTACTGTGAATGAATACACAGTTTCTTCAATCTCAGAGACTGATGGGGGCCGAGGTCACTGGGAACTCCAGGAAGGAGACTTACTTTCTGGAGACATGTGCGTCTTCTTACTTCTGCAGAGTGACCCTCTCCTCCACAGGGTCAGGAGGATGGGGTGTTATCACAGAGCACTTGCATTTCCTTCCACAGGCCCCTCCCCCTTTCTTCTTTTGACTTGGACACACCTTCTAGGAACAGTCCAGTATCATTTACTAGACTGGCCAGAAGAGATTAATTACTTGGACTTTAAATGTACTTTTGCACATTGTTAATGATGTAGATCAGCTGTAAAAATGTCAAAGGCCAAGAAATAGGTTTTTTCTTTAGATCTCAGAGACCTGGAATCATGATTTCATCTCCAGAAGAGGACATCTCTTTAAAATGGTAGTTACAAGTTTGTTACAAGAGCACTGAGTTTCCATGATGCCTGAACACAACCTAACTTTCAGGGCCCTCCAGTGTTAAAGTCCTGCTTGTGATCCCAGAAAGGGAGAATGGTGCCCAAGAGGCAGTACCTGTAGCACAGCCCTCACCTGTGACCAAGTAGTTCATGATAAGACGGTTCATGTCTGCTCGTTGGACATGTAAGTTATTGAGCTTTTCCATCCACTCATCCTTTGTGATTTCATCGGGTTTTTCTGTGTAACTCATTCTGATTTATTTCTACAGGGAAAAAAAATAATATTTTAAGAATTGGTAAAGAATTCTCACAATTGTGATCATTTCAGATATTAACACAGTGACCAGGAACCAAAGGGTAGAGAGAGGGAAGACGCTTACAATGTGGAAAACAGCACATGCAGAGGGCCTGAGGCTCAAACACAGGTTCAGGGACCAGAGAGAAGGTTGGGGGGTTCAGAAGGCAGGATGAACATGAGGAAGAGAGCCAGGAGCCTGAGGACCAGGAGGTCAAGAGGTCAGTCCGGGTCAGATGAAGGCCCTCCAGGCCCAGTGGCTATCTATTAATAGATGGATGCTCCTCTAAAGAGCACAGGGTGGCATAGAGAGGTACAAGCTGAAGATTCACCTGCTATGATGTGTGTGCTCAAGACAAGCCATCTCGCACACCCTCCATGCTGACAAAAATGAAGCAGCCTGACAACACCAAGTGCTCACACAGACATGTGCGTGGTCTCTTGAGCCCCTTTACCCTGTGGTGAGAACGGACTGCACAGCAATACACTCAGCACCACTCTGCAAGGTTGTGCGTGTGCGCTCCGCTCCTCACTCTTCTGCTAGCTGGGACCCCGAAAAACAGCCTACTATGTCCCAGACACAGACAGGCCTGTGCGCACAGTCACTGTTCAGGATGGCAACATTATGGAGACTGCCCACCCAGGAGTTGGTCAACAGCAGCAGGGACAAGCAAACGATGGTTCATAGGACTGCAGTCCCGAAGGACCAAAGCCCTGGGGCAGACCAGTTTCTGACTTCAGAATTGTTCAGGTTGTAGAAAGACTATTTGGTACATGTATCACAAGACATCCTCCCTGGGGTCTGTGGCAGCACCCCACGATAGGACATGACTGCTTCAGTGAAACCCATGAGGATCACACGGAATGGAATAGAAGTTACGAAACAGCTTTTCCGGGGTTGGGTTCTGCCATGAAATCAATTAAAAACAAGACTAAAAACTTTTGCTTTTCAAAGTTTTGTGGATTTTAGGACCACTGACTGTAGCAATGAAACAAAATTTACCAAAGCAGTTAAAATACATGAACAGGCCCACACAGGGGACTTAGAAACCAGCTGCATGAAGAGAGCAAGTTGCAGCACAGACCCAAGGGCAGCAGTTTTTTAAAGAACAAAAACAAGACAAGTTATACAATTTTTACTTAGTAGTAAATACATTCATAGCAAAAACCATTTGTTATTTTTTCAAGTAAGAGCATGAACCTTGAAACTCAGGAGGTGGTTACCAGGGGAAAGGGGGCCCTGGGAGCCCCAGCAGGGGTGTCAGGATGGGTGGTGAGCCCATCCACTGTCCACTTCAGTTTTATCCTTTGTAACTGACATAGGTTTTGTGGATATTACTTTATATAAAGCAAAGCACATGCTCAATTACCTCAATAAATAAAAGCAATTTAAAAGATGGCTCTGGTTTCCCAGTGGACATGGGATGGCTGTGGGGTGGTGAGAGCTGAGCAGGAAGACCAGTGAGGAGCCACCCAAACAGGAGGACAGCAGAGGGAGAATCAAGAGCACAGCCCACAAGACTGTGGACTGAGCCAATGGGCCTTGCTGCTGGACCCACCGGGAAAGGATAAAAGAAGATTCATTGACCATGGAGAGGTGTCAAGCTTGAGACCTTGGAGAATGGAGTCCCAGATGAGGAAAGACTGGGAGAAGAACAGGTTTGAGGAGTCGGGCGAGTTTGGGGTGACTATCAGACTCACAGTAGGAGAAGTCAGGCAGGCACCTGGATTACAGGTCTCAGTTGGGCGATGGAAACATTAATTAGGGCAATGTCCACCACAAAGTGACTGAAAGCCAAGAGTTCACCAGAGATCGCCCAGGGAGACAGTGTCGGTGGGGAAGCAAAGGGGAGCAAGAGAAAGTCCTCGGTTGTTGGGGGATCCCATGCCCAACTCTTGATCCGCAGAAGAGAACTTGTCTGAGACAAAACAGACAAGTTTTGTGTGAGGGGCCGTCCCCTCACACAAGGTCATTTCTCTAAGCTGCGGCCACTAGCGCAACTCACCGCAAACTTTCACTCATGGGCGACAGAGCAGTACTGGAAAGTTAACAACTTTGAAGAACCGGCCCATTCTGTTTTGTGTAGGGAAAAACTGAGCACCTAAACACCCCACAAACAGTACGGACAGCGAGGAACCCTTCGCCCCACGAGCAACGTCCTGTCTCTTGCTCGAACGCGGTCCTGGTGCAAACAGTTCCCGCCGCAGACCTGTGAGACTTGTGGAGAACTATCACCTCCCAGCAGGCGTCGCCGCCCCTCAAAACACGCTCCATCAACAAACACCGAGTCCACGCCCGGACTCCGCCGCCTTAGGAAGAGGAGACAGTTGGACCTGGAAACTCTTGAGGGCGCCGCCTCCCCCGAGAACGCGGCCCGAGGACACCTGCTCGGACGTCCGAAACCGGCAGGCACCCTGCACGGTCGGCCGGCAGGAGCAACCCCGCAGCCTGGTCCTCACCGGCCCGCCTCGATCCCTCCCTGGCCCCGACCCCATCCCGGCCGCCGCACTCCGGCGGGGACGCTAGGCCCGGCCGCCTGGGCTCGCCGCGGCCATCTTACCGTGCTGATCCCGCCTGCCGCGCTGCGCGGTCTCCGCGGCCGCTCGAAGGGCCCGGAGGGGCCAGGCGGGGAGGGGGAGGTGGCGGCTCCGGGGTCTGGGAGGCGGAGGCGGGGGCCGCGGCGGAGGCGGAGGCGGGGGCGGGGAACGGGAGGGCAGACGCACCGGCGGCCGCCCCCTCAGCCACTTCCCGCGAGATCGCGAGGTCGCGAGCCGGGAGCCAATCAAATGCTTTCACGAGGGGGCGGGGTGCGGCGGCCGTCCGGAAACGCGGAACTCCAGCTTCCGTCCTTGCGCAGAACTCTCCTCACGGCGCCTTCGCTCTACGGATTGGCGCGAGAGTCAAAAGGCATCGGCTGCCTCTGGCTAAGATGGCCGCCGTGGAGGCGTCGTTGTAGGGGAACTTCGCGCCGGGACGGCGACATCTAGACTGAGGCTAAGGTCCCAGCGTCCTTCCCGTCATTTGTGTAAGCCCGAGGGCATGGGGCGGGGAGTGGGTACAGGCGCCGGTGCTCCGCGCAGCCCCGAGGAGGGGACCCTTCCGACCCGGTGCCTGCCTTCGCGCAGGCCCGGGAGGAGCCGCCCGAGCGCGGACGGCGGGAGCTCTCAGTTCCGACGGTTGGGGTGGGCTCCGGGGCACGCGACCGCGGCGGGAAGCGCACACTATTTCACTCCAGAACAAGTCTACTGGGCCAGACCTGCCCTCGGGGAACCTCCCAGGGGGCCCGGCGGTCTTTCCCGCCCGTGGTTCAGAATCCGCGCTCAGGTTGGGCGGGGACCGCAGGCCTGTGCAACTGGGGCTTCGAGGTGCTGCGGCCGCTGCTCGAGGAGCGGGGCGGGGGGTCTTCCTGCCCTGCGGCCGGGGTCGCGGAGGCGCAGGAAGACATTCACGCGTTTATTCGGTTATTATTGTGCGTCCACGGGAGAAAAGGACAGATTACGTCAGAGCAGGGTCTCATTTTCCAGGTCAGTTCAGTTGTGTCGCGCAGTCGTATCCAGTTCTTTGCGACCCCGTGGACTGCAGCACGCCAGGCTTTCCTGTCCATCACCAACTCCGGGGCTTACTCAAACTCCTGTCCGTCGAGTCGGTGGTGCCATCCAACCATCTCATCCTCTGTCGTCCCCATTTTCCAGTTGCTGGAGAGTCAAATTAAAAGATTTTAGAATCCTTCGGGAAGGAAATTAAGGGGCAGCCCTTTATTCCATCCGATGAACTCCAGTGTCTTCCTGTTCAAAGTCAGGGTTAGATGGTTTCGTGTGATTGCGTGGAAGTGCAGTGGGACTTGTTGCAGAAAGTAAGTGCAATTTGGTAAACAGATTAGACAAAGACGACTAATTGTGGAAATTTCCCGTCAGTGAACTGAGCTAAATCTGCAAGTCCAAAGCTTTGGCCCTAATCTATTTAAAATGCAAATACAGTGTGTCTGCAATTACATCCCTTTCAGGCACTTAATCCTCTGAACAACTTTACACACCAGCTTTACAGTGGGCGAGGGGTGCAGATTTGTAAAATTCTTTTCAAGGGTGCACAGCATAAATCTGGTGCCCTAAAGAGCTAGGGTGTTCCAGTCTAAAGAAGGTTCAGCTGCGCCTTCTCTGGGTCATAGGTTAATGGCCCCTCACCCCCAGAAGTGGTCTTGCTTCGCTTTAATTCTGTCCAGATACTGGCTTCCTATTGAAACCCATACCGCAGGCAGGGTCATCTCTCTTGTCCCTGGCCCCCTCTTCACACCCATCAGTGACTCCCCAGTTGCCTGTGCAGACTGAGCGCAGCTGAAAGCCTCAGCACCCTGCCCTTTCTCTGGGCTCTCAGGAGATGGGTCTGTGTGCAGCACTCCTAGGCCAGTGCCTAGTGGGAACACCATCCAGACAAGTAGAGTGTCTTCCACCGCTTTGTGTTCCCCTGGTCCCTAAACAATCCCTTCGTTGCCTTCAGCACACCATTCTATGTCACTGATGCCTGATAGTGTCACAGTTCTCCACCAACATGTGACCCTCCCAAGAGCTGAAACTTAACTAGTATGTGGCAGGGGTTCCGTAGATACTTGTTGAGAATGTGGAGGAACAGATGAGTGAGTGAGGGTGAAGACCTTCGCTAAAAGCTGTCTCATCGGAAATGGACAAAGGACGGGAAACAGCAGTCCGGGTGGAGTGAGAGCGGAAGTTGAGAATGGCGCTGAATCACAGATCGGCAGTCCATTATTAAAAAAAAAATTTATTAATTTCTGGCTTCTTGAGGGTTTTCCCTAGTTGAGGTGTGCAGGGTTTTCATTTCAGTGGCTTCTCTTCTTGCAGAGTGTGGGCTCTATAGTGCACAGGCTTAGTTGCCCTGAGACATGCGGGATCTTCCCAGATCAGGGATCAAATTGGCGTCCCCTGCATTGACAGGCAGATTCTTAGCCTCTGGACTACCAGGGAAGTTGAGCAGTTCTTTAAGGAGAGTTGTTAAGGTTTATTAGTTTTAAAGGAGCATGCAAGAATTATTTTAAAGTGTAGTGTGTTTTGAGAATAAAATACACTTTGCCTCCTTTAATCAAATTCTGGACTATTCAACGACCAGGTGTCAGGCACATTTTACAGAACCGCAGTGTTTTGGAGGGTGTTTCTGTCTTACTCTCAAACCGTCAAAGCATGAAGTCAAACCCCTGAATGCTGGAGCCCTGCTTTCCAGGGAATTTGGCAATCAAACCTGTTTCTTCAGAGTAAGGCATAAGCTGATTGGACATTGCTGCTCAGAATTGTTATCGGTTCTTGTTGTTGAGTTGCTAAATCATGTCCAACACTTGTTGACCTCATGGACTACGGCACACCAGGCTCCTCTGTTCTCCACTATCTCCCAAAGTTTTCCTAAATTCCTGTCCTTTGAGTTGGTGATGCTGTCTAACCAGTAATGGCTCGATGTCCTTACCACTAGTGGGCAGTAAACTCTAAAAGGTCAAGTGCCATAGCCTTGACTTTACTCAGGGTCTTGTTCTCAGGTTCATCCTGAAACTGTTGAAAGGAGTAAGGAAGACTGTTTTTACTCTTTAGTTCTGCTGCATGTGTCCAGATGAATTAGCTGAATGAAGACCCTGTGAAGCATGTGTCATGGGGTCTGAGATGGTCGCCCTCCCCCTCCCTGCTGGACTGTATTTCCCTTTCTGGATTATACCACTAAACCAGCAAGCACTGGTTATGTCATCAGTTGATTTCAATGGGTAAAGTAATATTTTAGAGTAATATTTTTCTTGAGTTTTTAATTCCTGCAGAGGATGTAACATAAACTGTGTCCAGCATTGGTGCTACCTAAAACACGTGGGGTGGGTTGAAGGCTGGGCTGGACAGTGGGGCACAGGCAGCAAGCTCGAGTGGCAGTTTACCTACCCTGTCCAGTCAGTGGGCTGTTTGCAGACCATCTCTGCTGAAACTCTCCATTTCCTTCCCTCCTGCCTGGAGAGGGCTTTGATAATTACATTGGTTATAGATACAGACACATGCACGTGTGTATATAAACACCTATAACATATATGTGCACAGATGTTGAAAATTTATCTGTATATGCTTTAAGGGGTTTCTTGTTTTTGTTTGGTTTTGGTTGTTTTGTTTTTGCATGAGCCCAGATGTCTGATATGGGAGATAGAACACTGAATAAAGATGAGCCATTGTTTCAATTGATAACCATGTGTTCCTTTTTAAAAACACTTGCCAAATTTTGTTTTTTTTCTTTTTTTGACTTTAAAATCCTCTTAGGTTTACTCTTTAAGTGCTTTTACTTTCCATCGGAATGAGAGGAACTTTTGTATGCCGGACAGAATCCCAAGATTTTTCATTTTTATGTATAGTTGTAAAAGACAACATTCTTGGTCTCCTATATTGATTTGTTGAAATTTCAGAATAAAACCTTTTGGGTATCTTTTTGAAATTTCCTAATAGCTCGACTTGTGTTATTCTTGTTGAGATTTCCTTCAAATACACTTTTCTCACTTTCACCATTTAGTTTCTGTGATCCAGGCAAGCACAGGAAATTACATGGTTTGTTTTTTTTTTTTTCTTTCCTTTCCTCTCTCTTGGACAAATCCCAAAAGCCACTGTTAGGTCTGACTTTCGTGAATCTTTCACTTTTCAAGCATTTTAATTTTGGAAAAAATAATCTCTTAAAATGTGGCCAGTACAGTTACTTAGGGCTTCCCTGATAATGGTAAAGAATCTACCTGCAGTGCAGAAGACCAGTTCAGTCCCTGGGTCAGGAAAATCCCCTGGAGAAGGAAATGGCAACCAGGTTCAGTATTCTTGCCTGGAAAATCGCGTGGACACAGGAGCCTGACGGCCTACAGTCTATGGAGTCGTGTCTGACGCGACTTAGCGACTAAACAACAACAGTTATTTGTCAACGTGTACTTGCGTCTGAGGACTGGCGGCTGTGGCCCTGCTCTGGGGCCTTCCTTGTCCCAGTTGACCATCCCCTCCCACCCTGTGGAGGGAGGTTCCTGTTCCTGCTCACCAGCCACCTTCGGAATTCGGTTCAGATCTGTGGGCCTGTTTCGCCTTTCTCCTTTGTCACCTGCTCTTCTGGTGTGACGGACGAGCTTGTGAGGAAATGCTGAATCTAGGCACAGTGTGGCGGAGGCAGCACCCCACGTGTGTGTCTGCTTTACTCTTAAACTGCTTTTTTGTCAAAACCACTCTTCTGTGAAAGGAGTTGATTTTTCTGTCTTTTTTTATTTGGTGTATTCTTTTAGAGACTCAAGATGAAACTAGCCAGCAAGGAAATACAGTTCTTATGCCTCATACTTATTAAAATATTTCTTCTGAAGTTAGCTATTTACTTTTCACTAAATTTGTGGGGAAAGTAGTCTCAGTATCAGGAGCCATTCTGAAAGGTAGGAGTAACCAGCATTGTTCTGAAGTCTGAGCCCTGGAGCCCATGGCCTCTGGGGTTAGAGGGCACATGCGTTAGCTATTCAAAAACACCCAACGCTGACCAAGGCCAGGGAGGAGGAGCTAAGGGGACCATGACTTTGGCCCTTGGTTTCCTCTCTTCTTCCAGACATCTCTTCTCCAGCCCAGAACTGGGTCTGAGTTTGGGTCCAGATTCACTGGGGGCCTTGCCCCAGGGCCAGGCAGTGGGCCCCACCATTGAACCCAACTTCCTGACCCCTTCTTGGCCTGCCTGCAGGGTGGGTGCTAGCCTGTTCACCCTTGAATTCTGAACAAGAGTAACAATAAAGTAACTTGGCTGCTGTCTCATCTGGTTGTAAATTGTCCTTGGAGAGGGTCTTGACACACTCTACCTTGTCTCTAAGGGTTGCACTTGACCACCAGGAAAGAGGGGTGCTTTGCTCAGGACCCTGCTTTCCACTGGGCTTTAACTCAGGGGTGAGAGGAGGCCAAATACCAGGACGCGGTCTTCTAAAAAGGATTGATGACTCTTCCATTTGTGCTTTTCTGCCTTCATAAATTTTCTCAGAATTGTTCATGTGTGTTGGTGGCAGGACGTGGTGTCCACACATGTTGAGGATGCATCAATCGTACTTTTCCTATACTTTTCCTCAAAGACTGAAACCCGTTGAGGCCTGGAAGCTTGCTTAGCTTCCTAACCTCTGAACCACTGTTGTTGTCAGTTTCCTGAACTTCAGGATTTTTATTTGTGTATTTGTGGTATTTGAGACAATTGGAGACTCCTTTTAAACCTGTTTGTTCTTCTGGGTTTAGCTATTAAAGTAAGTTTTTTAGGAGAAGGTATTCCTTAGCTGAAAGTGCAATGAAAGTGAAAGTGTTAGTTTCTCAGTCTTGTGTTTGCGGCCCTGTGGACTGTAGCCTGCCAGGCTCCTCTGTCCATGGGATTCTCCAGATAAGAATACTGAAGTAGGTTGCCATTCCCTTCTCCAGGGGATCTTCCCGACCTAGGGATCAAACCCAGATCTGCATGTCAGGCAGATTCCTTACCATTTGAGTCACCAGGGAAGCCCCTTCTTAGCTAATAGACTTCAACTAAATACCCAAACTGCAGTTCTAGAAATGCCTTTTTCACCAGAGAAGAGCAGCTCCTGTGAGGAGTGACAGCAGGTGAACTGAATTACCTGAAGAAGGACAAGGGCCTGACTCCTCCCACAGGTGGCAGATGCCTCTGAACCCTGGTAGCCCATGGTCACGGCCAGCTCCCGCTGGGAGATTAGAAAGGGAGGCCAGTTGCAGGGGTAGGTGGGGAGGTGCAGTTTCCTTTCCTCTGCTGCCCGAGTGCCCACCTGAGCTGCCACCCCCAACCCAAGCACTGTAGTGGCACAGGTGAGGCTTCCTGTTGGGGTCTCCTTTCTGTCCCCTGAGCTTTCTGCCCAGAGCTTCCTCCTGTTCCATCAGCAGCCCGATCCTCGGTGTCATTCACAGGACCCAGTGCCCACCTGAAGCTGCACACAAGTTAAAAAGAGACACAGATGTAAAGAACAGACTTTTGGACTCTGGGAGAAGGCAAGGGTGGGATGATTTGAGAGAATAGCATTGAAACATGTATATTATCATATGTGAAATAGATCACCAGTCCAGATTCAATGCATGAGACAGGGTGCTCAGGGCTGGTGCACTGGGATGACCCTAAGGGATGGGATGGGGAGGGAGGTGGGAGGGGGGTTCAGGGTGGGGAACACATGTACACCCATGGCTGATTCATGTCAATGTATGGCAAAAACCACTACAATATTGTAAAGTAATTATCTTCCAATTAAAATAATTAATTAAAAAAAAAGAAAGTGAAAAGACAACACAGATTGGGGGGAAAAAAAAAATCTCACCTTGTAGAAAGACATTGCTGCTGGGTTTGCTTCTTGTAAAGATTTTCAGCCAAAGAGGCCGGGTGGGGTTTCCCCATTCCAGCTCCCATTTAGGGAGCCTTTTGCAGGGAGCTTCCCCTGCACCCCAGCATGAGTCCCATTCAGCAGACAGCTTGCCCAAGATCATACTGCTGGTTCAAGCCAGTTTCAATTCAACCTGTTATGTTTCTGAACTCACTACACTCATCTGGGACAAACCTGAAGACGGTCAAGATGTTGGAGTGTGAAGTTAGTCTGTGCAAGATCCCATGGAAGTGGTCCTAATGGAATCACACCAACAGAAACAAGCTGTGTTGGAATTCTTTGAAGAAAAGGGGCATTCTCTGAGAGCCTGGCAGTGTGGTCTTTCCAGATGTTTATTTAGAAGCACACCTGCTCCCAGGCCCCTAGTACTCCCCTACGGAAGCACCTGGCAGGCCTCTGTAGGGTCTTGGGTCTTCACTACACACCGGGCACTTTTTGCCAAGGGGTTCCTGCTTTTAAGGAATGTGGAAGCAGGGAGCTGTAGAGGCAGTGATGGAGACAAAAGGCCTTCAGCCAAGGAGTTACTGTCCTGGGGCCAGCGTTCCAAGGTAGCAGGCGTTTCCCCTCTGAGGTCTGCTTGTTGAGTATTTGGGGAGGGGCAGGTGCTGGGGGACTTCCGTGGTGGCTCAGACGGTAAAGAATCTGCCCGCAATGCTGGAGTTCTGGGTTTGATCCCTGCGTTGGGAAGAGCCCCTGCAGGAGGAGCATAGCAACTGACTCCAGTATTCTTGACTAGAGCATCCCCGTGAACAGAAGAGCCTAGTGAGCTGCAGTCCATGAGGTTGCAGAGTCCAACGCGACTAAGCACGCACAGGTGCTGGGGTGTTAATTGATATTAGTCAGCACTGAGTGAAGAAAATCCAGGTGGAGGGTTATCATTTGTTAGATTCCTTTCCTTGCATTCCCCCCTAGGCAGGTGTGCCCGGTTGTGTGCTCTGAGAGTGGAACTGCCCCGGCGCTGAGCTGTTTGGCCCGGTAGGGAGCGGGCTCGAGTTCCAGAGAATCTGGGAACGCAGTCCGGCGGGAAAGGAGCGCGGCGCCTTGCTCCTTCGTCCGAGTCCCTGCCTTTTCTGCCACAAGCTGGGCCCAGGGTGGCCGACGGGAGTCGCGCCGCCTACGCTGCCAGCCTTGGCCCTTGGACTCGGCCACCGTGCGGCGCAGGGCAGGGGCGGGGCCTGGGCCGGCTTTCTCCTTCCGCCCGCCGCGCCGGGGCGCTGCTCGGGGAATGACTGGCCCCTCTACCCCCTGGCGTCTCGGTGGCCGGCTTCTTCCCTCCACTGGGAGCGCGGGCAGCCCCTCTACCTCACGCGTCTCGGTGGCTGGCGCCAACCCCGCCCGCCCACTCTGCGGCGCTCTGAGGAAATGGCTGCGAAACCCTGGAGACTTACGGCCCACGGTGAGTGGCGGCCGGGGCGCCGGGTGTAGGGGCTACCGCCCGCGGGACCGCGTTGGACGGGCGGGGATGGCGGACCCTGAGGCCAGCCAGCCTGGCCCCGCAGGGCCCGCGCCCTGTCGCGCTCTGCCAAGCGGAGAAGATGGCGGCGGCCGCGGGGAGGGGGAAGGGAGGGCCGCGCGGGCCGTGGGCTGGAGGGGGCGGAGGGCGCCGGCCTGCTGGGCAGGGTCCACTCCGAGGGGCCGGGCCCGGTCCACTCGCTGCGGGCGTGTCCCAGGGGCCGGATCGTGGTCGGAACAGATTGAAGTGCGCCAGCAGGACGCCGCCCGGTGACCCACAGCGGGGTGACCCTAGAGCCGGGCGATGCTTTTTCCTAGAAGTTCCTGGTCTAGCTGCTGGTCCGAGGAAATGATTGTGCCTAGGATTGAATTTCCCCCCCGCCCCACCGTTTTTTGTTTTTTTTTTAAACCAGGGTAGTTTCTCTAGACATTTTAAAGGAGGTGAAGTTTCCCTGCCGGTCTTTTTTTTTTTTTTTTTTTTCCACCCTAAAGTGTGGTTTTTGTCGCTTTTGTTTCGCTTGTTTGTAGTCGACTACTCTTGTAAAGGATAACATTAGGACAGTTGTGTGGTATTTGATGCTATGTGAAGCGAAGAACAACAAAAAAGATTCAGAAAATCGATTTCATTTTTTGAAAGAGTATGTGCCTAGCCGTAAAATGCAGATATGTAGCTTTTATTGCGCCACTTGTCGATTTGATATAAGATTCAAATTTATGTTGTATTTTATTCTCTGGTCGACCTCACAGTAGAAAGGGATAACTTTCATCTTCCCCGGGAGATGTGCCCCACCATCCCCTTTCTGGCTCAGGCCTGTGGGTCCTGATCCCACGCCCTCTTTTGCTTTCTCTCTGTTCTTTCTTGGGAGACCCTGGAGGTCAGGGCAGGTTTTCTGCTCTGAATCCAGCATCCCAATCAATGAGCTCAGAGGTGAGACCTTACAACAGCAGCATGTGAGTGAAATTGAAGATACTGTTTAATTTGTGTGTTGGTCTTAGGTAACATCCGTGTAATTTGTACACTTGATGGAGTGAGATTTGAGCCTCATGATCTTGAGCATTTTGCAGGAGGGAAAGGCAGATGTTAAGATCTTTTCAGTGTGTTTATGTGTTCACATACCTCATTGTACCTGTTGGTTGGTATGGGGGAGGTTGAGCCTGCCATTTGGCAAAGTTCGCAGTGGGCAGTCCACCCAGGCTGACCCTGTTCTGAGCAGTTTATGTGTGCTCATTCGTTTCAGTGACTACAATGCTTCTGTACCTGTTCTGTGTTCTAACCTCCAAGAAGCTGGGCTTGCCCAAGATGGAATACCCGGGTTCTAACTGAGCCTTTGGGCCAACCCCAGACAAATGTTCTTCGATTTTCTCAGAGCTATGTAGTTCTGGTTTCAACGTGCTTCCAAGGAAGGTGCTTTAGCTGGAGACTTTAAGGAAATAAGATCTGTAACGTTTAGGAAGACTTCTCATTGTATTCAGCAAATATTTATTGCATCCTGTGTGCCAAGCACCCTGGCTGTAGCAGAGACCAGAAGGGTGGCATTCACAGGACTGGAGACTTGCAATAGGGAACTAGGAGGGTTGCCAGCCATGTAACTTGGAGCCTGGGGCCCTTTTTGGCACTTGGGGTTGGCGAATAGATATAACTGTCTGTATGACTGGCCCACTTTTTCCCACTTTTAACACGGCATAGGTGTGTCAAGGGTTACCTGCGGAGACCCACTCCCAACCCTGTTGTGAAACTCCTTGCCTAACTCACTTCCTAAGCATTCTGTTTCCTAGGTGGTTGTGTTCTTGCAGACTTATTTTAGTAATGAGTTTAGGAATAAGGTGTATCTTTAACTTAGTTCTGATTTTCCACCAAGAACTATCCTTTATTAGTATTTGATTATTCAGGTTGTTTCAAGTGAAGTGAATTATGCTCTTGATAAGAAAGGGCACAAATTAAAAGTTGTGCAGTTGGCTGCTCTCCTTACTGTCTGCTGGTTCCCACAGTGACCTTTGCTTTCTGGCCAGCCGTGCCCCTCACAGCACACATGCCTGTGTGAACCTCAGAATGGCTTGGTGAGAAAGTGTGTCATGGTGCTTTGGGTGGGCCTTCGTGAGGGTGGAATTTGTCTTCGTGTTGAGGAGGGGATGGATTGGAGTGGCAATTTGGGATCCCATCTTCTTTATTACTGTGGAGTTGTGGGACCTGCTGTTGACACTGTAAGTCTTTCTATGACCATAGAGGCCTCAGAGGTGCTGAGCCCCTTCCCAGGCAGCCCACAGACTGGGTCTCTTTCGTATGTGTTTTCCAGATGTTCCAAGTCCTGGTGGTTTTATATTCCTGTTAACAGGACGTGTTTTTCTTTTTTTACACACTTGTCCCAAGATCCCTGGTGACTTCCTTCCACTTGGCTCCTGAGAACCAGGGTTGAGTTTTTCACAGGCCGACTCACTCGTCCTTGGGTCCCTGAAATGGCACTGTTTCCAATAGCAGACTGATTTCTCACACACCTGGTGGCCTTGGAAATCCTTTAAGAAAACTTTCCTTAAACAGTCCTTTGTGCACTTCTTATTTAGACGGGTGGCGTCTTTAACAGTGGATACCTAACATGACCCTGTTTATGGCCAGCATCCACTAATGTGTGTTAATTCCATTGCAGAATCTCCACGATTAACAGTTAATGGGCACATACTAATTGGGAAGGGATAGGCCAGACAGTCCTCACTTGATGTGACGTGCTCACACCTCCTGGAGTCTCTTGCTCAGGCCTTTTTTTTTTTCCCTTAACTTCTAATTTATCCTCCTACCCAAGCATGCACTTCCATCTGGTAACCATAACTTTGTTTTCTATGTCTGAGTTTATTGCCGTTTTGTAAGTAGTTTTTCTGACTTAATATGATAATCTCTGGGTCCATCCGTGTTGCTGTAAATGGCATTATTCTTTTCTTATGGCTGAGTAATACTCTGTTGTATACAGACACCATATCTGCATTATCCATTCATTTGTTAGTGGATATTTAGGTTGTTTCTGTGTGTCAGCTGTTGTGAATAGTGCTGCAGTGAATGTTGGGGTGCATATATCTTTTTGAATTAGAGTTTTCTCCAGATATATGTCCAGGAGTGGATTACTGTTTTGTATGGCTATAGTCCATGGGGTCATAAAGACTTGGACACAACTGAGCAACTAAGCACACAGCACAGTATGGTGACTGTCTTTTTAGTTTTTTTCCTCTTTTTGAGTCATATAATTGACCCTTGAACAACACAGGTTTGACCTGTCCAGGTCCACTTGCACAGGGCCTGCTTTTAAGTAGTAAGTACTATACGGTACAGCACAGTCTGCATACACAGAGGCCAAACATAAGTTATATGTGGGTTATCAGCTGTGGGCAGATTGGGAGCCCAATTTGTAAAGCAGCTGTTTCTCTCACGGGTATCAGACTTGGGTGCTGATACTTGGGTGCTGTGGTTTTGTTTTTTCATATGCTGATGCAGACGTGTAAGTGATAATTAATATACCTTTACAGCAGGAAGGTAAATGGGGCCTCCCCCAATATAAAGACAGCTGTACTGTGTTTGGGTTGCAAAGATAAATTTATACGTAGGAAACAAGACAATATACAAGAATATAAAGAAAGCAGAGACCCCAGAAAGTAGCAGCCTCTGGAAGCCCAGTTACGGCTGTGGACATGTTTGTGAGCTTGGTTTTGGGGGGTGGGGGTGGGGGCGGGATGGGGGCAGGCAGTATGTCTGGGAACTGGATGTAACCTCCTGTTCCACTCACGGGCGTGGGGCTCTTTCCATGGCAGGGGCTCTAGGGTTCATCCTGCTCTCATTACAGTCTTAGTAGAGAACACCATCACGTGAATGTTTCCGGATTTCTTTCAAACTGGTCTCCTGGTGATTGTCATAGGTTTGTGTCCATGCTGGGAGCACCCTCATAAACATACCTGCTCTTGCCTAGTTCTCTCTGCCAGGTCGCAGTGAAGCAGCCACCCCTGTGGGGAAGAGAGATGCTGCCTGCTCTGTACTGAGCACTGGGGGGCCCTTGATAAATGTTCATAGACTATTCACGAGGGCCTGTTTTCCCAGCCACTCACAAGCAGGCATTGTCATTTTCATAAATTAGCCATTTATCCTACACTGACTGGTACTTGACGCTGTCGTTTCAGGTATCCTGTTAGGAAACTGAGGTCATAGTTGTCTATATGTACCTGGGCAGAATGCCTAGCTGTTAGGTTTGCAGCTGGGGTTGAAGTCTGGGACACCCTGGGACTTAGGCATTAACCTGGGAGGGTCATGCTGTAGTCAGTGAGGGTGGACACAGCTGACCCCTTGGTCAGAACCGGGGATGCTCAGCTGCACCAGGGGGAGTGGTCCCCCTGAGATGCCCCATCGAGACAGGTTAGTACAGCACTACCCATTGGCTCTTTAGGTTGTAATTTAAAAAGAGTTGATCCTTTCACAAAGTGTTCTAGTAGTAAGGTGGTCTCCTCAGCACATCCCTCACCCGGGCAGCAGTGGCAGCAGCGGGGAGTTGCATCAAGTTTAGCTCTGTGTGGATCTGTAAAAATTAGTGGGACAGTCCTGTTGTTAAAACTGTTATTTAAGCTTGGACCTGCCTCACTGCCCGCCACCTCCCCCCGCCCCCGCCACCCCAGACCTAGACATTGGCCTCTGCTAATCTCAGAGAAAGAGGACAATTCCAGCTGAAGCGTACAGTGTGGGTCTGGACTTTGCATGTCTGTGGTCTCCAAGTATCGTGCTTGCCCCATGGCCTGTGGCATGAGCTGCAGCTGCACTTGGGAAGCAGATGCTTGTGAGAGAGCAAGCTTTGTTTCTCCCCAACCACTTGCTCTTTGGACGAGGGCGGCAGTCCCTCTGAATGCTGCAGTTTCATGATCAGTGCTTCTCCGTAATCCTGGAAAGGTGGTGTCCTGAGCCTCGCTGTCACGGCCCTGCAGTCTTATAGCCATCTGACATCACCCTTCATGTCAAGTAAATGCTGTCAGTTCTCAGACTGAGCCCTTTATACCTGAAATTAACAAGGACCCCAAGGGCTTTTGTTTCTGTTTTATCTATTGATATTTATCATGGTTGGCATTAAAAATGAGACATTAAGTTTACTTCCTCACTTAGAAATAATAACAAACACCTGCATATTAACATAACATATTAACATAACCTGCATATTAACATATTAACATAACACTCTGTAGAAACTATGTTCCAAGATAAGAAACAACTTAATGAGAAAGGTGGTTTGGGGTTTTAAATGTCTGACTTAAGCA